GTTTGTATATATATATATATACATATATATATATATATAATAAATATATATACATATTTTATATATATATATACCACGAACTTCATTTATTATTTACTTTTTATATCAGTTGCCTAGGCATCATGCCATTGAATCTTTAACACTATCTTCCACGTGCGAGAACCCATGTATACTTACTCTCACTTGTTCTATATATAATCATATGCAGCAGGCGATGGTTTCAACCTGTCGAGCGACATTTTACCTGCTCCCGATGCTGCTGCCGATGATTCAGAAGATTTAGACGACCTGAACGACGAATCTTTCCACAGCTCAGACAGCGAACACGAGGCCTGTAGGATGGACAGAAGTATGTAGTACTGCATTGCTTGAATAACTTTGATTTAGAATGGACAGAGGTATGTATTTCTGTGTTGCTTGAATTACCTTGATTTAGAATGGACAGATGTTTGTAGTACTGCATTGCTTGAATAACTTTGATTTCGAATGGACAGATATATGTAGTACTGCATTGCGTGAATAACTTCGATTTAGAATGGACAGAAGTATGTAGTACTGCATTGCTTGAATAGCTTTGATATAAAATGGACAGATGTATGTAGTTCTGCATTGCTTGGATAGCTTTGATATAAAATGGACAGATGTATGTAGTTCTGCATTGCTTGAATAGCTTTGATTTAGAATTGGTAGAAGTATGCAGTACTGCATAGGTCGTAACGCGTTGTAAGAAGCATATAGAAAGGACAGTGATATATAGTTCTGTATTGGTTGTACAGCTTCCTATAAGGCGTATAAAATGGGCAGAGGTACATAGTACTGCATTGTCTGTAAAGCTTATAAACATTTAAGATGTTGGGGTTTAGACATGTGCTGGGAAGTGTATATGTGTATGTGTGTGCGTGCATGGTCGCGTCTATGGATGGTCAGGCTTTAGCGGTGATGTTTTAAGCGCGTGGGAGTTGTGGCGTGCATGTGTGTAACGGCAATGGATGAGAGCATGACTTCCTCGCCTGCACTTACAAAGTATGCGCGCAATGGAGCGCTTACTTGTGGCCAGGGTGTGAGACGAGCTGCCTGTACGTGTGAGCTGTGTAGGAGAGGAGTTCAGGCTGATTGTTATATTGCTAATAGTTTAGTTTCTAAATATAGATAATTTGCTGAACGGATTAGTCGGTTGCAAGTCTGTAACATATGAGGGATTGTCAACACGGATGTCAATTCGTAGGCTTGTATGTAACGTATACTAGGACGTACTATTCGATTTTCTCACTCATGTATAGCAAAAGCAGAATACCCTACACGACTGGACTCACTCTACCATGCACGTAGCGTTAATAACACTCATGTGTGTCTGATGTCTGGTGCCACAGTGAGGAAGAAATTGCATGTCACCAAAGAGAATCTGGTGTTCTCAGCTGCCGCTAAGGAGAGACCGCCTATGGGTATCGCGTTCAAGTAAGCGACAGTATGCTAGTATGCGAAGTATCATATGCCAGTATGCGACAGATGATCTACTAGCACGTGACAGATCATATGCTAGTTTGCGACAGAACTTATGCTAGTATGCGACGTATCATATGCCAGTATGCGACAGATCATATGCTAGTATGCGACAGATCATGTCCTAGTATACGGCACATCATATGGCAAAATGCGACATATTAAGTACTCTGTGGCGTTTCAGGGGAATACACTATTCATTTGCCTATGTTGACATTTGATGACGTGAGCCTATATATCATGCGATTAAGCGTTTCTATGGCCTGTAGTGATGTGCACGAGATCCTTGCAACAAGTGCAAGTATGTATTAAGAATCATATTATTGTAGTATGTTTAAAATATCATATTAGTGTATTGTGTATAAAATTCATAATATTGTAGTAAGTATGTATGCATATCATAATAATGTATTGAATATTCATATTGACGTTACAAGTATGCACAAATAATTATATTGTATTACGTATGTATTAATATTCGAAATAGTGAAATAGGTATGAGTAAAACGTCTAGCTGATATTCCATTTTATCTGTGTGTGTATGTATACATGTGATGTGTCGTAGCAAGCGCCTTGCGTTCTGATCAGCACTATGTGTGTTAGTGTGCCACAAACACATGCACGACATACACCGGTATATTGTGCTATAGTGTTTGTTGTGTTGATGCGCCTGTGGTCAAAGTATGCAGTCATATAGCGAACTGTCTACTTGCACAACACAGGTACACACACAGTCAAGGCAACGCCTGCTGACGCTGATATCTTTGCCTCCCCACTGTATACGCATAGCTTCTCCATGAAACTGTGTTACAACATGATGAGCTCGTTACGTGACACCATACCACCGGCGCTGTTTGTGTGGTGCAAAGGAGTGCTGATAGGAACGAGTGCGCAGATGTCTTTCTTTGGGTCAGTGACAGCCGGTACGTGCTATGCATTCACACGTCTAGATAATGGCAGCTGGTCATGGCCTGCACAGTATGGCGTCGTGGGGGCAGGGGCCTATTTCGGTATGTGCGCAAGAGGGTTATGTACAAGTAAACGTTCATATATATATATATATATATATATATATATATATATATATATATATATATATATATA